GCACCAGTAGCTGATCAGGTCAGATGAACTCCCAGTATCTATAAGGATTCGACCCACTCTTTGGTTGGCCACCTTAAATTCAATCACTACGGGGTCATCATGCGGCCACCTGACCTTGCCCCGATCTTTCTCAGTGATGATGACCTCAGGAAAGGTGTCTTTCGACGCCTGACCCTCATCAACTGAGTTGACCTCCAGCCTTCTGATGTAGTCCTTGGTGCCCCGGATGGTAGGACCCCCTCCAGCGAAACCGCCTGCTATAGTATAGATCTGCTCTTCATCAGTGTCAGAGCTAATAGCAAGCTGGTCTGATTTTTTGGACGGCTGTCCATTGTTTGTTTTGAGGGTCACCCTGGACTTCAGAATGTAGGATTTCAGTACCCCTTTGTCAGCTAGACGGTCCAACGACCGCTTGAGGTAATAGCAGTCATTGGTGTCATGGCCTATATCCTCATGGAAGTGACAGTATTTGTTTTTGTCCTGACTTTTGGCGGAACTTTTCATTGCAGCCGGTTTCTCAATAGTCACCCGGTCTTTGATCTCCATGGGGATGGAGTAACAGCCCTTATGAACTCGTACTTGGGGACGTTCGGCTTCAACTCTTTCTTTTTCTTCTGGGATGGCTAACCAGAATTGTCCGCCACCCAAACTTCTTTCCTTTTCTTGCTCTCTTCTTTTTTAGCCGGCTGAGCAGACCGACTCTCTTTTTTGTCGGACTTTTTAGGGTCCGACGGCTGCTTGATGGCGCAAAACTCTGTTTTCTGTATATAGGCTTCTGCTTCCATCAACGCCTCTTGGAGGGTGGCAACCCTCTTTCTGATGAGGTTGAATTTAAAGGTCGACCCGTCCTTCAGACCCTTAAAGAAGTCTGTGTATGCAACTTCGTCAGATAGCCCTTGAATCTGAATTCTCATCAGATTGAACCGCCTGACGTAGGACCTTAGCCCTTCTCTATCTTCCTGCTGTATAGCTCCCATGTTGAGACTTGTCTTCTTGGCAGGAATGTTCATAGAGAAGTTGGAAGCAAACAAGTACGTAATCGTCTTGAAGCTATTGATGCAACCGGCTGGCAGGTTGCCAAACCATCGTTGGGCTATGCCCTTCAAATGTTGCCGGGAATCATCGGCACCAAGTGGCGTCATCCTACCCCTGTAAATATATGAGGTTGGTATATGCCATTAGGTGGTCTTCTGGGTTGGTGGTACCATCATAGGTACCTACCAACACATTCTTAACATCGGCCGGCTGTGCCGCCTCGGTTATCTCCTTGGAGAACGCCGATGGCTATTCCCCAAGTTTTAGAAGCCGGAGCTTCCTGTCCATTGGCTGGATATTCTGCGCCACCTGATCCCCAAAGAGGGCCAGCTGCATGTGTGGAGATCCTTTGGGCATGTATGGCTGCTGGGGCACATACGGTGCTGGCTGGATAATCTGAGGGCTAGTACGTGCGAACAAGTCGCGTGACTGACTCTCTCGGTTTGTTTCCGAATACCTCATCGAAGTATTCTGGAAACTGTCTAGATAATTCGATGTTGAAGCCGACTTGGACAATTGTTGACTTCTCTTTAGTTGGATTATCATCCAGGCATCTGTGTAAGTCTTTCTTGATCCATCCGGCTGAACTTGCAGGATGGCATTCCTTTTTTCGGCTTCAAGGAATCGGAATTTTGATAAATCAATCATGGGCCCATCCGTCCCCTTTGGTTTAGGGTCAGGAGTAGGCACACGGTCCTTCACATGATTCTTCCTTGAGGGAGAAGGCTTCTTAGCCGACTGACCCCTATTGGTGCCAGTCGTCTTCTTGTTTATCAGGTCCTTGATTTCCCCTTTGAAACTCGTTATGAATTTCATGAGTTCGTCTCTTTTAACGGGGGCAGCACCCTCCACCTCCTGGGGTTGTCCAACCGGCTTGACGGTTGGGTTTATTGGACAAGCTTTGTCTTCGCTTCGTTCCCTTGTTTCCTTGGAACGGGTACGTCTTGTTTTGAGTGACCCGTCTAGGGCCACATAGGTCTCGACATAGAAGTCGTCACCACTGTCTTGGTCTGTATAGGCCTCTACTCCAGCCAAAGGTCGTTTCTCATTAGTAGGCGGTACAGACTCATGCGAAGCCATCTTAGAAGTACTCTCCCCATAGACAGCGCCAAATGTTTCGGGGTTTTTGGAGTCCCTCGGGAGAGTTACAATTCCAAGAATGGATGCTAATCATCTATACCTGAAAAAACCACGGAAACTCTGGTTGGGTGGAGTTTCGCCTCCGACGATCAAGTTATTATGTGTGCGGACGGAGTTAAAAGTGCGAAATGTAAAGAGTTACTCTCGGATTTCAGAAGAGAATATCTGCAATTAATATTGCTTTGATTTGTTGGATATTTTTGAATGCCCTCATAAATGAGGATATCTCCCTATTTATAGGGTCTTGGAATCAGCTCCCCTTCTTGGGTTATGAAACCCAAAAGGCTAGTGGGCTGATTCATGGATTGGGCCAAGAAGGCCATATTCTGCCTTTGGACTGGGAGTGCCACGTGTCTACAGAGGATTGGTTCATTTCGAAACCCTTTTTAGGGTGACACGTGTCACCACCTGATAGGGCCACTTGGACCTGGGTATTTTTTCCCTAAACATATATGGTCTTTTATAACGAGTTAGTGATGGATTAAAATTAGTAACGGTTAGATTTATATTTAAAAAAAATTAACCCAACCACTTTAAACCAGCAACCCTAACCTGCCCAACCACCATCTCCCTGTCCGACGACACTACTCCAGGCTCCTCTGACCGCCGGCAACGCTACCCTTGTTCCCCCTACCGCCGGTTACACTACGCCAGCTCCACCTCGACCACTGCCCACCAAGAAACCCAAACCCCTCCCACCTTAGTCAAGATCGAACCCCCTAGCTTTCTCCTCCACCGACCACTCTTCTCCACCCACCGCAACTCCCTAGCTTTCTCCTCTGCCCAGATTGAACCCAAACCGCCCCACCTCAGTTGAAACCCTAAACGGATGGTGGTTGTGGTTCAGTCAGAACCCTTATTTAAGATTGGTCTGGGCGGAGGAGAAAGATAAGGGGGTTGTGGTGGCTGGTTGCATTGGGAAGAGGATAGAGAGGGAAGGTCGTCGGCGGGGTTTGGGGTTCTGGGTGACAATGGGGCTGGGGTAACGTCGCCGGCGGGGGGAACGGGGAACCCTAGGCGCTAGTAGTTAAGGCGCAGGGAGAGGGTGGCTGACAGGTGGAGATGGAGGTAGTGGTGGACTGGGGCTGGCTCCCCCTGCCGGCGCCTGGCACCCAAAGCGCCGACGACCCTACCCCACCGCCTTTCCCCCACCAATGCAGCCCACCCCCCTCCCTTTTCCCCTTCTTGTTGCCCCGACCTCCACCCCGAACCGAAAACCACCCCCCTCCCCATTCGCCCCACCAGAATCGTCGCTTCCCCCCCCCCCCCCAAACACCCTGTGCTAGTATTGTGACCCACCTCCACCCCCAATCCCCTCCTTTCTCGATTTGGTTTTCCGCCCTCCACAACCGGAACTCCCTTTAAACCCCTCCAACCATTCGAAACACCCTCAAAACCCCTCCCCCACTCCCGAAAACCCCCAACAACCACTTCCTCACCGTAGAAAACCCTAGCCGCTAGGGTTTTAGGGTAAGCGGAGTGGTGGTTGGAAATTTTCAAAATAGGGAATGGTGGGGTTTAAAGGTGGTTAAGTGGGGGTTTTTGGGAGAGGGAATGTGGCTTAAGGGAAGCGCCGGAGCGGCGAGTCTAGTGGTGGGGAGGGACGACAGTTGGGCCAGCGAGGTGACTAGGCCAGGGAGGTGGCGGGTTGCTGGAGTTCTAAGGTGGTTGGGGTTTTGGTTGGGTTTTTTTTTTTTTTTTTTTTAACATTTTACTTATTTTTTCTTTTTTTTGAATAAACTTAACGGAATCCGTCAACTGGTAGCAATTTTAAACTGTGATTTTAGGTGGTAGTAAAATTAAAAAAAAAAATTTAAGGGTAGGAAAAATGAGATGCATGTATTTAGGTGGTAGCAAAAGTGAAATTACCCTTTAAATTTTAATATATTTTAAATATGGTAAATTTGTAATAATATTTTTAAAAAAAATGATGAATCTATTAAATAATAGATTCGTAGTTTGTACTACACAAATTAATATTAGGAATCTTCTTACTAATAGCATATTTACCACAATAAGTTATTGAGTATTTCTTATTATTCGTACCCATCGGTGGCAATACATAAATTTTAAATACTTATTTAGCTAATACACCATAATTTATTCTTTACATATATCATTGAATTATTTAAACACTCATATGGTCTAAGATATAGTATTAATATAGTCACGGGGAGAGTGAGGGATAGCTCAAGTGGTTAGAGCTTTCCTCCCGATTCTAAGAGATCCTGGGATCGATTCTCACCCCCGCCTTGTGGCTCTCTAAACGCCCAAAAAAAAAAAAAATATAGTCATGGCGTTATCAAATACAAAGTATGTTATAATCGTATTTTGTCCTATTATTTTTATAAATAATTCTTTTCCAAATTAAATATAGTGAAACTAACCTAACCTAGTTTCAATATATTATTAACCCGACTAATTTTCTTTTACAATTTTTTAATGCTCTAACTACCACAATTACCTCTTATTTTAATTAAGTCAATTAAATTGCCTAAAACTATGTGCCGTTCAAAAGTATAGCACTTATTAAAACACAGAGAGAGTATTTTTATCCACTTTCTCTCTCTAACTTTCGTCTATAATAGTACTATTCATCTTTTTAGTGTATTTCATTCACTTTCTCCTCCCATATCTTAAATACTAGTTGGAAATTTTATCTAAGGTTGAAAATAAATACGAAGTATTCTTAAAAAAAATAAAAATAAATAAGTAAATGAAAGCTGAGGTAGTGCATGTAATGATTTAGGTAGTACTCTTAATAATATAAAGCTTCATAGTAACTAATTGAATGTATAAGCAAGTGAATAGGAGAATAATTATACCTGCAGCAACTCTTTTATCGGCTAACGAAGTCAAATTTGCAGCATCATCAGCAGCCAAGGAGAAAATTAATCCATGATTATAAATCAACAAGTATGGTATAAGGATAATGTTGATGGTGTTAAATGACATAACCCAAACCCACGACATTTTTTTTTAAAATAAATAATTTTTTTGGACTAAAGAATTACTTATGTGTATATTCAGGCATTCAGCTGCATACTCTTAATACATACTTTGCATAATGCTGTGATTTAATCTCTATCAGCATGGACAAGTGACAATAAACAGTTTATGATTACTTTTCTATTGACTTGACTTTGAACCTTCTTTCACCACTCGATCCTAGGATATTTATCTGGTTAATTTGTTATTTAGTAATCTTTGTCTGATCTTTCAATTTCGAGTTATTATCTTATCACGCTATATTTATTGATTTACAACCACAGTTAACAATTCAGTTGTATTTATTCTTGTTTTGGTGCGTCAAGTCATGAGAACTATGCGTTGACTCGTACAATTACGACTTGGTAATGTTAATACGTACAACAAAGACACTGAATGCCCACATGCAAGAGTACGTACTCTTACCAAAAGAGCTTTCAGTCTTTACTTTTTAGCGTGGGATCTACTCTAAGGATGCAGAAACCGTGGGAGTTGTTAAACATCGCCCATAAATCTCTACATAACGCCCACAATTATTTTTATTTTGACGATTTTGCCCTTTTCTAATTTTTTCCCAAAACGTAATTCTCTCTCGCAAAAAATGTGGAGCAGGACTGGATCGCCGAGGGACACCGGAGAGCCGTCATCGTCGCCGGAAAGCGAGGTACTTTTCGGTAAAAAATTACGAAATGCTGGCTGGTGTATGGCCTGACTGTTGCCACCGTGACGTCTGGCTGGGACGCCTCCACCGTGGCGGTGGCGCCTGGGTGGGACGCCGCCACCATGGTAGTGGCGTCTGGCTGGGGCGCCACATCCATGGTGGCAGCGTCCCGCCCAGACGCCACCGTCATGGTGGAGGTGTCCCGGCCAGACGCCACCCAGCAGTTCATAATTTTTTTTATTATTTTATTTAAAGTTTTTGTTTTTTTTTTGGTTTTTTAACTTCGATACTAATTTGAAATTAAATATGTGTTAATAATTTCAAAAAAAAATTTTTTGTTAATTTTGTATGAATACTTTTATGCATAATTATGTGTTAAATTTATAAATTAATTATGTGTTAATTTTGAAATTAAATTTACAAATAAAAAATTTAGAAATTAATTATATGTTAATTTTTTGCTAAATGTATTAATTTAAATCTTTATATAATTCTATGTATTTAAAAATAATATGTCATTGTTGCAGGATTATGGTGGAGACGGAAATGATTATAGTGGGATTTTTGTACATGATAGTCCCTTCGAAGATGTTTAACAAGCGATTGATTAGGAAAAACAGGTTGCAATTAGATTTGATTTTTGTTTAGTAGTAGCAACTCATAAATCTCAACGGGATGGTAAAATGGATCGCATTTTGAGATGCGACCGTTATCGCAAAAGGGAGTAACGAGATTTCAGTACAGCGATTCGGTTTAATACAAAGCAGAAAGGTTGTGGGTGTGAGTTCAGAGTAAAGGTTAGACAACACCAAAGTCGTGACGGTTGGGAAGTGAAGGGTTACTCTAAATGGGGGTATCACAACCATGAGATGATAGTATATCAAGTGGGTCATCGACAGTTAAGCGGCCTAAGTCCTGCTGCAAAACTAGTTGTCAAAGAAATGAGTGATGTTCAAGTGAAGCGTGCTAATATATTAGCATCTGTGTTAGAGAAATTTCCTAAAGACCAGCCATACCGAAGACACATCTACATTGTCAGACAGAAACTGAGGTTTGAACAGTCAGAGGGAAGGAATCCTATACAGCAGCTTCTACACCAGGCACAAGCGCGTGGTTACCTGTCCTTGTCTAATTCTAATGTAGAGACATTCGAGGTGTTTCATTTATTCCTTGTGCATCACGAATGTGCTAGTATGATCAAGTCTTGGCCGTTTTGATTTTGATCGATTCAACATACAAGACAAACAAGCACAAGTTCCCACTGGTTGAGATGATTGGAATGGCTCCAACGAACCAGAACTTTTTGATTGGTTATGCAGTCATCAAGGATGAGACGGCTGCGAGTTATTATTGGGTGTTAGAGAAGTTGAGAAACTACGTCGACCCTAATGTTCAGCCATCAGCCATCGTCAGTGATTATGAGGGAGGTCTCTTTGCCCCTATAGCGGAGCTGTTTCCATAACCAAAGCATCTACTATGCACATGGGACATCAACAACTGTGTGAAAGTCAAAGCCTACCTATACGATCAAGCCTTGGATAACTTCAAGGATGCGTACCAATGGTGTCCGGCAATGTTAAACTATGTGATGCAGCAGTGGAAACCTCACAGGGAAAAGTTTGTCAAATATTGGACAAACAAAGTTCTTTATTTTGGAAACACTACAACATGTAGAGTTGAGAGCGCTCATAGAGCTTTGAAGGACTGGACTGATTCTTCCACCTCTGCTCTAGATACACAGTTTGAGAGAAAAAACAAGGCTATTGATATTCAGAAGAACAACATCAAGAACTCTCTCGAGGACTCTAGATGGCGACATGGTATGATGTATTGCCATTTCATATTTAAGATTCTCCATGGTCGTGTGTCACACTACTGCTTGGGGTTGATTCTGAGAATGCACAACAGGATGAAGGAGTTGGGTGATGAAGTGGCTATTCGGTGCGGATGTGCTATATCAGTGACTCATGGACTACCTTGTGCATGCACCATTCACCGCGTAATTACCCAAGATAGGGCGTCGTTACATGTTGATCAGGTTCATCCATTCTGGCAGACGCTCGTTATTGGGGAGCATGCTGTTCTACAGACGGTCGACCGTGAACAGGAGGAGTTGGAGCAGTTTCATTCGATGTCCGACCGAGTGTCCTCTAGTCACCCTTCAATCATTTATGATGCTACCCACATACTTCATGACATGTTCAACCCGTCATGCTTGGATCGCAAGGAACCTGAAGGGGTCGAGCGACCTAGAGGTCGACAACCACGGCGGAACAGGAGTGCGTTTGAGTACATTCGTGATCGTGGTAGTGGCCGTGGTCGTTCATCGTCATCCAGTTGTTCGTCTGGTCGGATCTTCTTCGTCGGTGAACATGCCCGGAACCGGTATAGTACTTTACGTTACTTTACTTTTTTAAATGTTTGTTTAGTTTACTGCTGACTTGTTAATTGTGTTTATTGTTATGTGCAACAAGAAAAGTGGATATTGATCAGTTTCCATATAAGGACAAGATCCCTAACATCATCATGGAATACTTAGACGGGTGGAATGATGTGGTTGTAGATGGCAACTGCGGATTCTGGGTCGTGGCTGACGTGTTTCAGATGGGTGAAGACAACTATGCTTTAGTGCGTCAGTTGATGTACAATAAAATTTCCGCAAACCGAGATGTTTATTGTCATGTGTACAGCGAAGACTTGGATAGTTCTCTTCAGCGTATCCGGTGGGGAGGAGGACCTTGCGGTCAAAATCATTGATTCGACGCGCCACTTGATTTCTTTGCCGTTGCAATCATCTACAAGTGTGTAGTCATGCATTTCGGGCTTGGTTTGCATAGTCGAGCTTATTTTCCATCTTGCACGGTTCTCCCTTGGTATTCGCATGCGACTGTCACCTGACCGGTGAGAGAGTTTACTATTGCATTTCTGGGGTCGTCATACAGACATTTCACCCGATTGGACCTGTCATCCGATTTTCTGGTGCCACCGATTTTACCTCGGTGGTACACTATTCGCAGACCAAGCGTAGAGGGTTGGGATGTGATGTATCATGACCGGATGCGTCATTGGAACAACATAGCTGCCTTTTAGTTTTTCATGCATATACTCTTTCTATGTAACCTTGTATTTGTATTGCTCTTTTTATTCAATTCATTTATTTTTTGTATTCTAATTTTGACTAAATTTATATCTTGCATGCAGACTAATTAGTATTGCACGTTACAAACTAAAAAGATAATGTCAAATTTTACAAACATAAAAGGTAATGTCAAATATTACAAACAAAAACGTTATGTCAGATTTTACAAACTACTATGATAATGTACAAATTGTTCTATAAATAAACTGCTAACATATCAGTAATCCCTCTTTAACGCCCGCTCCCACTGCGCAAGGGCCCGTTCCATATCATCAATAACAGCTCTACCTGATGCAGTCGTCATGTTGTCCCTCTCCTAAAAGAGTGCCTATCCCAGTTGCATCATCTATCCCATCCACTACACAACAAAAAAAATGAAATTCAATAATGATATATAATAAAAAAAAAAAAAACACACACAACAATAAATGTTTTATGAGACATACCGCATCCACGGCAGTGGGCGGTGGCACATCATCATCATCGGCGTCGTCCTCATGGTGGAGGTCTCTGATCAACCTCGAGTGCGAATACTAGCTGTACCATTCCATGTAGTGGTGGTCACACATGGGAGGCACCCCAGTTGACGGCCTTTGCAGCTCCGCAGTCCATAAGAGGGCGACAATCGGGAACTGCTCCCATGTGGAAATCATGCTTTCCGGCCATTGGACGACGTAATCCTTCGACGCAGATCGGACCGCCTTACTAGGCCATGCTGGTGGAGGAGGGACAACTTGGACAAATCCAAGATGACGGAGATGGCGCTGGGGCATGTACGCCTCTACGATCTCACGATACTGAATCAGTCCCGTGTAGAGGGTCCTAGGTACCCTATTACTAGGATTCTGGCCGAAAGGCATCTAGTTCACCTATACATTTTTTCAAATTAGTAAGATTCATATAATCAATGCATCACAATATAAAATTAAAAATAATTAATACACTTTAACTCTAAGGGAGACATCCTGTCAAGCAATAATCGTATCGATCGGAGGCGGTCAACAGACTTCTTCTCGAACCGCGGACTCCACGCATAGGCACGTGGCATCCCATCACCAATAGGAACCGGGTCGCGGTGTGGTCGAAATGCAGGAAAACACTCGTATATCCAGGTCTGTAATAAAGTCAGACATCCAGTTATACCTGCAGCGTCAGCCTGACTCGAGAATCCTAATTGGCGATACAGATACGCCAACGTAGCCGACCCCCAAGAAAACTGGCCTACTCTGTCAGGCTCACATGCGTCAACTATGTCGCGTGGCGTGAGCTTGTTTCTGCTCTTATCCGGAAACAAGATACACCCGAGGAGAAGAAAAAAATATGCAGCTAGTTGTGTGTCATGCGTCCTACGTGTAGTGGGGTGCAAACAAC